AAAGTTTGATGATCATCTAAATTTTTTTTTTGTATCATTGACACTTATAAATTTATAGGTGATCATGTATTGTGTTAAATTATATTTCTGGAAAATTTAAGGGGTAGCTATATAATAATTTTGGACGATCTCAGGCGGTCGAATACTTATGACTGCTACTATATAATTATTAAAACTTTCTGAAGTTTGTAATTTATTTATATTTTTTTTAAGATAATTGTATGATTACCATAATTTTTGTCTTATTTCCTAGCTGATTTTTTTATATTTTTTCTCATTCAACTCCTCTTCTTAAAATTTGATAGGAATTTGATTTAATTTCATTACTGTTCTTAATATAAAATTACTTGAAGCACTGTAATTAGAATAGTGAGGTTTATCAGGTGCATTATATATATCTAGCTGTAATGTTATTGTAGATTTATTTTTTTAATTAAAAAATAGACAAATTTGTGATAAAATTATCATAAGAACATTTTTTTAATATTCAAAATTTTTATTATTTGCAATATGTAGAAGTAATTGGCTAACATTTTTAAGTTTTTTTTATATCCTCCTTATGATTTTCTCTTTTTTTACATAATAATATTTTTGACCTTTTCCTAGTCTAATATAAAAATATCTTTTCTCATGTTTATATTAATTACAATATACATATCGAGAATTTTTAATTTTATCAAAAGAATGTTTACATAAAGAATTGAATAGTTCTAATACATTATAATTAAATTGGCTATTACAGATTACTTAAACATTTCTTTTAATTATTTTTCATGAATATTTCTCATACTCTGTGCCTTGTATAAAAAAATAATAAAATTTTTCACAAAATAAATATCTTCTTTGTTGAAGTATACTTTAACTTGTGTCTTTTAATTATTTAAAGCTCAGATCATAAAGATTTTTTTAATCATTTTTAAAATAATAATTACAAATACCTAGCCACTCTAATACATTATCTACTTCAATAATGCTTTCTCTATTTATTTGATATATATCACAAAGTTGCCATAATATTCGAAAATTTTTTAAATTTTCACATCTTTTAATATACCTATCAATCTTATCAACAATAACACACTATATTAAATTTTTAGATGCTTTTTGTTTAATAATTATATCATCATCTTTCAAATCTATTTCTGAAATTGAATTATTATTATTAGATATACTATTATCTATTTCACTTATATCTTTTATATTAATAACTTTTTTTAAATATTCTTTATTTAAAGAAAAAGTAACTTGTTCAATTTTAGTTTCAAAGTTATCATATATAGTTTCAGCAACTGTATTTTCATTATCAAAATGATAATATTCTTCACTTCCTTTTTGTAAAATACTTGATATTCCTAAAAGTAAAGCTTTTGAAACATTTTTATATATTTCGTTTAAAGACATTTTGGAATTAAAATTTTATACATAAGCTTTATGAATAACTTTATAGCTGAGATCCTTTTAATCTAAATATGAAAAATGCATTCTAATAACATATCTACTTTTAAAAATATTCTTTTTTAATCTGTAACTAGGTCAAGTTTCTAATTAGCTACCCAATAATTTTTTTATTATATATGAAACTTTAACTATTTGACAATTTTTATATAAAACCAATAATGTAATATATTGATTATTACTAATTAAAAATTTTGATCTTCATATGATCAGATTTGTTTAGTGATTATTATATTCATAATAGAATTATTATTATTTAATAATTTTAAATTATTATATATTTATAAATTACTTTTATTATAATTATTACTAAATTTATAATTTTCATATTTAGTAATAAGTAATTAAGTTACTTTTAATTATTCAGTTTCAGTAAATTTTTTTAATTTTTTAATATAAGAATATTATATAGTAAAAATAAACTTAATATTAATAGAAATTATCAAATATTTATTAATTGCAATATCTAATGCTTTTACAATTAAAATAATTAATCTATTTGTATCTATTAGTTTAAAAATAATTAAATTTTTTTTTGAATTTTTTTTTTTAATATTAATAATAATATTAGTATTAGCATTATCTGATATTTTCTCAATTTCTTCTAAAAGTTTTCTTTAAAAATTTGTTATATCATTATCAAAAATAAATCTGTAAATATATTTAAATTTTCATTATTTTAAATAGTTTAATATAAATCTAATATTTCTTTAATATATTCTTTTAAAGTTATAATTAAAAGATATATAAAAATATCAGAATATAAGTAGATCTACCTAATAATTTAATTATTACTTCAAATTTTCTAAAATTTTAAATTTTTCATTAAATTCATTTATTTTTATCTAATATAATTCTTTCTAATTTTTTTCTATCACTTTTATTTTCTTTATTATGATTAACTTTAATTTATTTGATAAATAAATTATAGTTTTTTTAAATTCTAATAATCTTTATTTAAGAATAATAAGAGAAATTCTATCTAGTTAGAATATTTTTAATTATTCTATAAGTTTTTGGATAGTTTAAATTTTTAAATTATTATAATGCTAAAAGTCTTAACTCAACAATAAAATTGTAACACTTAAAAAATTTTCAACTCTAAAAAAAAATAAAATTTTAAAAAAATAAACTGATAACTTTGTTCTTTGAGATAAGTTCTATTAAGTTACCAATCAGATTTTGAAAAAAGATTTACATAAAAGTTATAAGTATTTAAAATCAGATAATTTTTATATGATCAGTCCAAATTTGAAATAAAATCATATCACGTGAATGTAATTTTATTGGTTAAATTTTTGATAATTTGAATTGACATTAGTATTAATATAATGTCAGCCCAAATTATTGTAACTAATTATGCTCAAATATAATTTAATTCTAGTTTTAGCTTTTAAATTAAACCTTTTCAATTTTAAAAATTGATTATGCTACGTAAAATAAAAAGACAATAGCAAGTAAGTGAATTATCTAAAAAAAAAAGCCATTTTATATCTCAAAAATCAGATATTACTATTATAGAAAAGGAGATTGAGCAAAAAAAAAAGCTGTTGAAGAAGATTTAATTGTTAAAGACAAAAATGTTAAAGAATGGATGGAAGGTGAAATAAATTGAATGGAAGATGAAATTAATTAAGAATGGGTAGAAGGTGAGTTAAAAGAATTTGAAAAAATAGGAAAAAACTTATTGATAAAGTACTTAGTTAGGATAAAAAGGTCACAAGTAAAATTAGAGCTGTGTATACTGGAGATTCAAGAACATTACAATGGAGACAAAAAAAGAAAATAATAGAGTTAGAAGAGCATACAAAAGGAATAAAAAAAATCAATACTTTTTTTCAATCAATCTCTGAAAATGTTAGCATATCAAGTAAAATACCATTATTATTATAATCAATTACACTAAATTCATCTTTACTAATACCTATCAATATTACAATAGACCTACATATATGTTAGAAGAGATCAATCAATTATGTTTAGTAGGAAAATCCACAAAAGAAAATCACAACATATTTACATATAATTATATTCACTTTTTAAATATACGTAGATTCATACAACAATTATTAGATGAAAAAGGCAAAATAGTTGCTAGCACTCAGATTGCTCAATCTATGTAAAATAAAGGAGACTATATGGCTCGATATATTAGAAAATAGAGAGGTCATTTTATACAAACTGGTAAACTTCTTGTCTATTTCTAAGGAAAACATATGAAAATAAAAGGTTTGCTAGATAATAAGGATTTTAGTAAAAATTGTAAAGCATGGTTGTGATAACAGATACCAGAAATACACTCTCCTTATAATCTAAAAATGTATATTGAAGAAGAGTTATTTTTAAAATCAATAGAAAATATCAAAAAGGATACCATTTCTAAGAAGATATACTAAAATTATATGTATCTATAGGATATAGATATAATAAAAGAAAGAAGGGTATTTATTATAATGGGCACAAGAGGCTAGATATGATAGAATATAAAAAAGAATGACTGAAAAGAATATTTATGTATAAGAAACATATGAAAGAATTTGATAGTGATATATTAGACATCATATTGAAATTCAAGCTTAAGTTAGAAAAAAAAGAGCTCATTCAGGTAATGCATGATAAATGTCATTTCTATGCAAATAACAGATGATGAAGAATCTGAATTAGAGAAAAAGAAAATATTTTGTGTCTAAAATATTTAAGACGTTTTATCATAGTTTCTGTCTTCCTTTGTTCATATTATGAGTTATTACAACTATCTGATAAATAATTGTAAGAAATTCACACATCAAATATAAGAATACTTATGTTCATTATTCTGTACAAGCAGACGGATATTAAATATTAAAATATATGATAGAGCAGGTTTCTTTTTTAAAATTTTTGTTTTTGCATATACTATATATACTAACCTAATCTTATTATTTACAATGAAGCTTATATATAAAGCAGTTCTGATATTTGAAATATTACATCCTAGGTGTATTGCCATTTTTTGTTTTGATCAGTCAACCAACCATAATGCTATAGCAGAAGATGTACTGATTGCAACAAGAATGAATTTAAGGTCTGGAGGAGTACAGCCTAAAATGTGCAATGGTTAGTATATAAATGAACGTGAAAAGAAATGCATATAGTCTATAATATTCCTAGATAACCATCCAGTAGAGAAGCTAAGAGGACAACTAAAAGAAATCAAAAAAGTACTTGAGGAGCGTAACTTTTGGCCTAAAAAGAAAATTAATTTAATATGCAAAAAATACTTTAAGAAAAATGCTGATAATGATGAAAATAATGAGATAAGATTAAACTGCTATGTATAGTAAATAATATCCTTACAACCTGACTTTCTTAAGCAATAGTCAGCATTGGAGAAGACAATTGTTAGATCCAGACATATTTAGAATGGTATTCAAAGTTTCATTGTGAATGTACACTCCTTTCAAAAAATATCTGACCACTTGCCGATCATTTACCGATCATTTAAAATTATAGCTGATTTTAACGTTTATTACTTAACAATTTATTAATAAAATTTTTACAAAATTTATATATGTAATGCAGAAAAGCTCATATTTTTT